TTATATATATATATATATATGTAATCCTTGTATATACAAAAGAAATTAGGAAAGTAATTCATTTCTTCTTCGTTTTTCCCACTTGTCATTTTAGTTTTAATTCTGATATGATATCAGAATGAGTCGATTAGGGCCCTACCTCTCTTTTAAGGTCCCCTCTTCTTCATCCTTGGGTAATCGTTTCTCTGTGTGGTGCGTGTGAAGCCATGCCATGGCAAACTTAGTGGCCTTGTGCATTGGGGTTTAGTCACATTGGACAATAAAAAAAGAAACATATGTGTTTTAATATGATATGAGCAACTTCAAAAGCCTAACATGTTAACTTTTTATATACTTTTAACACTAATTTCTGAAATAGTATATGACTGACAATAATTACAACCATACAATATTCTTAAATACATATAAATTTAATTATATATACACCTTTTTTATTATTAAAGAAGACATAACTTCTCTAATCCTTTAATAACTCATTATATTTATATTTCATATGACTTAAATACATTACTTTTTATTTTTACTTAAAAAAATTTATCACTGTAATAATTAAATTTGTTGGGTTCTAAGTGTCTAACTACACATTTAAGTTTCAGATTAGTTGGAAGACTGTACATTAATTTCCCAGAAAAATGTGTTGAAAACAAACTAGGAATCCTTATAATAATAATAATAATTATTATTTTGGTATTAACTTCCTAGTATCTAGTAATCATATTAGATTCCAATTATTTTAGAATCGAATCCGTCAGGATCCTATAAAATGAAAGCTTATTATTATTATTATTATTATTATTAGTATTATTATTAAGGACCATTGACACACATCATCCATACCACACTGCCGTTACACACTCTTTTTTCCGTTAATTTTCACACTCCGTTAGTCTCCATTTCACTCACATCGTGATTCCTCCTTCTTCCCTTTTTTTTTTTTTCTCCCGGGTTCTCGAGAGAACCCAAACTTGGGTTCTCCGAGAAGAACCCAAATTGGGTTCTGCAACCCAGACACAGCATTGGGGTTCTGCATCTGGGTTACATAACCCAAATCGGGTTATGCAAGAACCCAGATCGGGTTATGCAAGAACCCAGATCGGGTTCTTCGGATACTCTCCAACATTTTAAGCAACATTAGACCTCATTAAATGAAGAAAAATGCTAAATTAATTGATGTAAGCCCAATTGAAAC